AATATGTTCGTGATATATAATTAAATCAGTCATTTCAGTTTCCATTAAAGTGTGAAAGATCAAACCAATGTATTAGAATAACCAATTGTGTCCCAAAAGTCACAATCACTCTTCAAATAATTTGTTATAATTTGGACTGGATTTTGAAAGTACAAATATTTCTCAGGATTAGCACCGAGTTGTGTCCAAGTCACCGGAACTAATACTGGATTATTTGGATTTTTAGTTTTGGCATAATTTGTCCAATAATTAGCCATTGTTTGAGATATATATTGATCATTAGCAGTAGAATTAAGCCAAAATGCTTCAAATAAGAAAGCCAAATCAAAACCATGACATGCATGAGCTTCACAAGCTCCTGCATTTATCAAACCATTAGTATGAAGTGGATAGCCAAATGCGTATGTAAAGGCATTTACTTTACGAGCAATAAAACGTGTTGGACATGCAAATACCCATTGTGTGACAAGTTTAGCTAAGAGTGGACGTTGATCACCTAATCCTTGTGGTGGATATTTTAATGCAATTATGACAAACTTACTACCAAATAATAGTGTACCGGCTGCAATATAACCCAAGGGTGACACTGAGTTAGGAAATGCACTATAAACATAACTTAAGGCTTCTTCAGTCATTGTACCAATGATCAATGGTTTAGCTTGAACAAATATATTAGAAAACATATTAAAGATTTGTCCCCGTACTATGTTATTGTCAATGACAGGAGTCCATGGTTCAAAATATTGTAGAGATTGTAATGATGTTATTTGACTATTAATTACATTTTGAGCTGCAATAATAGATTGATATGAACATGCACGAAGACATGATATATCACCAAATATACAATTGAGCTGTTGAGCAAGGAGAATATTAGGAATTAAGTATTGGTTGTACGTTCTAATAGTATGATCAATAATTAAATAATATCGGAGACGATTTTTATTGTTTTACCTGAATGGAATTGTTACAGGACAACTTTGAATGATAGCAGCTTGAAAATATTGTTGCATTTCTGGTCTTAAATAATGTATTGCTGTCGATTGAGCTCCTGCACTTTGACCAAACAATGTGATCTAAATAATAAGAAAGTTAATGTTTATAATAGAGAATGATTTAAATTGACTTTATTTGGATCTCCTCCAAACGTATTAATATTTGATTTGACCCAGGCAATTGCCATTTGCTGATCTAATAAACCATAATTGCCTTTGAGATCATTAGAACTAGTGTTTTTTGCAAGAAAACCAAGTATACCTATTTGTATATCAAAGTTATATGTTTATTTCATTAATGAAAATAAAATAATCACCCAATCGATATTGAATAAATACACTAATAACATTAGTTGTATTGACAAAACGATCTGCATTATAAGGCGCTATTGATGCACTACTATATTGAAAATTACCACCATGAATAAAAATCATCACAGGAAGATTTGACGAAACACTGTTTAATGGAGTGAAGATATTCATATAAAGACAATCTTCTGACATCTAAATATCCTAAATTTACACTAATTCTTTCTCAATATTAGAACACTTACACTTTTAGGACAAAGTATATCGTTAGCATCACATGCAGATTGTGGACAGGCAGGTGGAATTTGTGTTCCATCAATTGTTGATGAAGCCCAACTACCAATAGCTACTGGTTCACTCCATCTATATGCATAATTATAACAAAAAACATATAATAATCATATAATTACCTCAATAAACCAACAGGTGGTTGAGCATATGGAATACCATAGAATACACGACATAAATCTGTTTCATATCCTTGTACAGTACCATATGATGTTTGAACAGTAACTATTTGATTGGTATAAACATGTTGAATCAAACAAATCAGTGAAAAAAGAATTATAATCCACATAATATTCTTTTTTTTCTGATAATAACAACAAACAATTCAATAGAGAATATTTTTGTTCGTATTGTAAGTGTGTTGCTAATAGTTTATCTAATCAAACAAATATTAGTTAATAATGAAAATATTTTGCATTGTGATTCATCAATTGTTCTTTTCGATAATTGAATAGTTATTATGTAGAGAAGAATGAACTACTTGTTATTAGAAAAACATTAATAGTTATATCCAAAAAAAAAACAAATCTTTAAATAACATTGCAATGGAATTAAGTTTAATTGCGTCTATTCCAAAAACGCGATTAGTAGAAGTAGAAATATTAGTAATATCAATAAGTATCTGATTTATGTAATACTTCTGATGGTACTTAGTGTACTAATACATAAAATTACAATATTGATATCGTTTTAGTCTCTTTCTAATTAGTGTCAATTACTACATCAAAATTGTTGAAAATAGAAATCAATAAATAGAAAACTTTTTTTGTGACTTGCCAGGCATGAATAATAAAACACACAAAAGAGAAACAACATTTTAAAAGTTTTGTGAGTCAAGGTGAATTTTTGCAGATATAAATAAGTAATGATGGTCACTACGACTCGCTTAACCCTCGACTTAATTAAATATTGTATTTTATTTTCTTTTTGTCAGAGATCATATAACAGTAGAAGTTCAGAAATCGTATTGCCTTAACCCAAAAAACAGAATTGAAAATTTCAAGAAACTGACTTCAGATTTGGATTTCTCGATCTCGATTTACTTTTATAAACATCCATCAAAAATTGCCCGTAACCCAGTGAAAAAAAGTCAGATTATACGTGATTTTGTGAAATTATCATCGGATTTTTCTGCAACAAAATCCAAATTATAATTGATTGAAATTTTCCAAATCACAAATAATGTGATTTTTAATCAAAAATAATTCTTTGAAATCGAGAATACTTTAGATTTTAATCAAATTATATCGGATTTTAATCAAAATTTTAATTGATTTTGAGGATTATTTCGGATTAAAAAAAAGTTTTCGAAATCAGTTAAAACTTTGATTAAAATCCGATATAATTTGATTAAAATCTAA